TTAACAGTTTTTATAACTGTTATCCTTTCACGTATATATATACACTTGGTAGTATGTTTTCTTTTGTTCTTTTGGATCTTTGAGCATGTTTTTGGTTTTTTATCATTTGTTTTATGCTCACACCATTGAAGTATGAAACAAATAAGAATCGAAGATCGAGAATGATAAAACGTGAAACAATTAAAAAAAGGGTAGTTGTCTTTTTTATTATTATTAATTTATCCCAATTACATAATAACATGATCTGGGAGTTAACCATTGCTTTATTATATCTAACGAACTTTTATATTTTCACACTCAAATAAAGTTAAATCAGTCTATTATTTCAAATTGCAAATGTTCTTATTTATATAAAAGTAACATATTTTTATAAGAAAAAAAAAGTTAATTAGTAATTTTTTAAAGAACACATGATATTTTTAGGTAAGTAAAAAAATTATTAACATTTTTCTTTCCTACTCACTTTATTTTTTTATTCCCCTCTCTTTCTATCATATCCAGCACCAAAGTAGCAACTGCAACAGGGGTCAACTTAACAATGACTTGAGGTCAGATTTCCAACAACGACAACATCTTCGATTTTCATTCTTAAATATTGAAATTGTAACTATATACTTTTTAATTTTATGTAAACAGCTGAAATTGTCAAAATATTTATACATCTTTAATTATTTAAATTTTTTAAATTTTTATTTTTATTTTATTTTATTTTTAAACGGTTTAAAAGAAATACAAACAATCACCTATAACTTAGCCGTCATGTTATTCATGGTATAATTTTGTTAAGTTTTATCATATAATGTACAGAAATTGAGATACTCTTGTTTCCATAATATTTATTCTGTTTCGAGAGCAAGTATTTAAGGTTAGAAAAAATTAGTAAGTTAAAATATTAAAAAAAATACAAAAATAGAGAAAAATGTTAAAATTTGAAAAAGATATCAAACAACTATATAAAGTAAGTATATAATTTACATAAATTAATTTTTTGCGTAAAAAATTACACTCTTTCAAAGCTTAAGATTAAAAAAGTTAAACATGTTTATACTAAATTAAGTACACACGTATTAACGGATGCCGTTTTTAATGTGAAGTTCAACCTTCACACTACTAGGCGTGCTTCGCGACAGGTCACTGAAACATTGTGCGATTTATATGTTAAATATAATTTATTTTACTCTTATATGAGTTATGTATTAAATATGATTAAAATACATTTTAAATTTGTTGAAAAAGATGACATATTTAATTTTATTTCAAAGAAAAAGCCATAAATTATTAAATAATACACTTACATTAAATACAATTGATAAATTTATTTTTAAAATATTTTTTATATATATTTAAAGATATAAAATATAAAATAAAAAATTAATAAATAAAAATGTATAGAATTATAATATTTTATATTTTAATATATTAAAATTCATAATTTTAATAAAATTATTATAAATTCTTACTATATATCTGTTTGAAGAAAAAAAAAATTTGAAGTTATAAAGTCTCGTAACACACTTTCATAGTAAGAAATAAACTACATTCTTTTAACCAAAAATACATCTTGAAGTTCAGTGGCACAAACATAGCCTTCGACTAAAAAATAAAAAAGAATTATAGGTCCCTTCACTATGATAAGTCAGGAGACTGTAAAAATTGAAATATAAAACTTGTCGAAGAAACTATCTTTTGACTCATTTCTATGAAAATTGTCAAAAGAGTTTTATTCTTTGTTGAATGCTATATTTCGAGATGTTTTGAAAAGTTATAAGAGCTCCATTCTTTGTCAAACAAAAGGCTAAATTACGAAGATATTTGGAGAATCACAGAGCCTTGTCAAAAAAACTATATTTCAAGCAGTTTTGACAGAACATGAAGAGACACATTTTTTTGTTAAAAAGATGGTAGCCTTTTGAGGAGTTTTATAGGATTTTTCAGTCCTTAGATTGAAAATAATCAAAACTGGTCAAAAAAATAGAGACTGACGAGAAAAATATTCTAAATCCACAAAACTAAAAGAATTCTTATATTTCTCTCATAATTGGTTGAAAACATAGGATGACAAGAGAAATTATTTTAAGTTCACGAGACTAAATAAGCTCCTAGAATCTTCCTTGGAATTGTTTAAAAAGTAGAAATTAACATAAAAATTATTCTAAGTTCACGAGACTAAATTAGCCCCATATTTCCTTCATAATTGGTTAAAAAATAAGGATAGATAAGAAAATTATTCTAACTCCATAAGATTGAATGAGTTCTTAGATTTCCTTTAGAATCAATCAAAAAATGAGTTGAGCAAGGAATTATTCTAAGTCTAAGAGACATGATATGGCTCAGAAAGTGATATCAAAAGAATTACAAGGTTCAAAGCGCAGCAATTGCTATCAATTGAAGGTTTAAGATACAAAGAAAGATCATAAACAATAGCATTTATTGAATAAGTTATAATTGTTAGTCGTGGATAATGGATAGTATCGATTGAAGGCAAGTATGTGTAGAAAATAATTACTAAGAAATGCCTATAAAAAGAGGAAAAAATAGTAGTTCATTTACCTATAAATACTATGAAGTTTTACATCAGTTGAAACGACTTTTTACACTATATACCTATACCCAAAATCTTTACACGTAGAAACTTTACACTAAACCAGACTTCAACCACAAGGAGACTTACTATCATTATTATTTATTATGAAGAGTCATATATTTATATTTCTACATTTTATTTGTAATTTATTTTATGTGCTGGTTATATAATTTTACTTTTTTTTAATACATTTTTAATCATTTTACGTTCAGGTTAATATTATTTTTATTATGTCATTCTACTATTTTTATCTATATTTGTGTTTTATGACGTTAATTCAATTATTTTAAACACAACACATTAAAAAAATTTTAAAAAAACTTAAAATCTAGTTTTTAAATTATTCTTAAATTTATTTATTTATTTATTATCTATAATTTTTACCGAAAATAATATCTTTAAATATATGTTAAGAAAACAAATTTAAAATTGTTTTATTTAATGGCAAAATAATCAACCCAGAGAAAAATTGAAAATTTATCAATGATAAGATTTACGAGTGCATGATATGCATTATGACTGATAGCAGTCCGATAAAATATGTACTTATACTGCTGATGTGATGGGTAGAGACTATAGATAGGATAGTAATAGAAAGAGAGAGAGAGATGAACGCATGAATAAGGTAGCTATATATTATAGCATAGAGATAGGGTGTACATGAATATGGCAGGGTAGGGCAGGGCCTGTTATGTATCAAATATCAATGGCAATAGCAATGGCAATGGCAAAGGCGAAGGCAGAGGTAAAACCCTCATTTTCATCTGTTTTGAAAAGAAAGATGTCTCTGCTTCTGCATAGCCACAACCCACAAGTAAGCATTCACCACCTTCAACACTCTTTCTTTTGTCAATTTAGAGAGAGACAGCCTTAGACTCTTCTACCCCATGAATGGAGAGAGACCTTCTCATTGTCGCATCCTCACACGTGTGAGTGTTGTGACTCATTGCAACAGGGAATGATTATAGTAATAGTATTATGACAGTATCTGACTTTCTAACTGAAACAAATTTACTATAATACTCTTTTTACTATTTGTTGTCAATGGGAACAAAAGGAACCCACTGGAGTTTAGTTTTAGTAAAAGGATTAGTTCTTATACAGTCTTGAATTATAATTTGTGTTCTCGTTAAAAAATAATAAATAATAATATTTATCTCATATCCTTTCATAATGGATAAAAAAAAAGAAAGAAAATAAAAGAAAAATAATTAATATTATCGATAATATGATAAAAAATACAAGAAGCGATAAAAAAATGTAAGAGAAAATAAATATAAAATATAAATATATTCATAACTCTCTAAAGTTATCTAATCATATATCAATGTTACAAATGGTTTATAAAGTATTACATAAATTTGTGTAATTACTAGTTTACAATGATGATTTTCTTTTTACAAGATTACTCATGTCGTTGGTCAGTTTAGATGATTAAGTATTTTAAGATTAAGTTTGATATTCTTACACGTTTTACATTTCTTTTTATCTTTGTGACCTTTTAATTTTTTTTTCTCCTTTTTTACTGTATCTCTTACTAACTTTCTCTTGTTCCTTTGAATACACACACTACTACAAAAAGAATATATAAAAACGTCTTTTGCCTTCCCAAAATTCACTTTACAGGGGTAACTGGTTGGACGAATATTTTACGTTGACGCTACCTTTGCATTGCGGGGGCACCGGGAAGGGAGAAATTAGGAAGCATCAAGTCCGGGAGAAAATGTTCCTCCAGACTGGAAACTGGAAAGGGGTAGAGGGAAGGAATAAAAAAGAAATTATGTGATTTTTAAAAATTATTATATTATTAATTATTTTTATATAAAAATATTAAAAATATAATATTTTTTTAAAAAACTAGATAATCATTATTACATAAAAAGTTATTTTTATGTAACTTATTTTTTATTCTCTTATTTATTTAAATACATATATTTTTTTTTTTTTTACTTTTCCCACAATACATTTTTTAATCGTATTTTTCCCTTTTATTTTATTTTTTCTATTTTGTCCTGATGTAAGTGTAAACCATTAAACCAACCATAAGGTAAGGAAGTAAAAATATAATAAAAAATGTTTTTGACGTTCAGGTGAGTAATAAGACGTGTAAAAAATGAGACCAAAAGAATCAGAATACGTGAACAAGAAAAAAGCACACATAGGTTTCCCGTTTCTTGTGTTTTTAAGGCTTAGAAAGCACACAAATGCTGTCCAAGTCTACTTGCTCAGCTGCAAAATCTTTCCCACTTCAGTCTTCACCTTCACTATCTGTCAAACTTTGCTTCTCTCATGTTGCACTCTCTCTACACACCACAATAATATTCTTTGGTTCTCAGCATGAGACAGTAACAGTTTCAGCAACAACATTTGTCACACAAATTTAGGCAATGAAGTCATGGCCAGCACCAAATGTTCTATGATCTCTTCACAGCAAAACCAAAATACTCACACCTCTTCTTACCCTTTTGCATCTCCATCAATGGGAATGGTCTATGAAGACATGATGGGGTCTCTCTCTCTTGGTTCCAACTATGCTACTGTTTCAAATAATAATTTTTCTTTACCTCAAGATAGTTACTATTATGCCTGCAAGAGTTCTGAGGTGGAACATGGGAGAAGCACAAGCTGGAGTTTTCCATTCACGAGGGAGTTTCTTTCCTCAAGCTTTGAAGATGTGGAGGGAAAAGGTTCTGATTGTTGCAGTGATGGGGTAGGGGAAAATAGTGAGAGTCATGAGAAAATTAACCACGATGCCAAGTTCAGTGAAGAGAATAACCCTAATGAAATCACTGTTAGTGGCAAAGAGGTAGATAGTGGACACTCCAAACTATGTGCAAGAGGACATTGGAGGCCTGCTGAAGATTCCAAGCTGAAGGAGCTTGTGGCTCTTTATGGTCCTCAGAACTGGAATCTCATAGCTGAAAAATTGGAAGGGAGATCAGGTGTGGAAAGAAACTAATGGAATGTGCAAAATGATGACTAATTAACACAATCTTCTCTTTTTGATTCTTAGATGTATATTTTTTCTTTTGTCCTGTGGCGTGAGTGTATTTTATTATTGAAGGCCTTTTTTCTTAAAATTTCTTCTTAAATTCCTTTGTTATGTAGCTTCTTTTTCTTTTTTTCTTTTTTAATTTTTTGGGATATTTTGTATTTGAATTAGGAAAGAGTTGTAGGTTGAGGTGGTTCAACCAGTTGGATCCAAGGATCAACAGAAGAGCATTCAGTGAAGAGGAGGAAGAGAGGCTAATGCAGGCGCATAGAATGTATGGCAACAAATGGGCCATGATTGCAAGGCTTTTTCCTGGGAGAACAGATAATGCAGTGAAGAATCACTGGCATGTTATAATGGCTAGGAAGTACAGGGAACAATCCAGTGCTTATAGGAGGAGGAGAACAAGCCAATCTGTTTACAGAAGAATGGAGCGAAATCCAAGTTTTGTATGCAGCAGAGATAATACCTTAACAACAGAAATAGAACCATCATCACATTCCTATTGTCTCAATCTCCTCCACAATGGAGTAGTACTCAGCAACAATATGACTAGTTTCCCATCCTTCCATGGAATAGCAGCTGGTGGCGGGGTTGAGTTTGGCTTAAATGGTTCTTCACCCCACACGAGCGGTCGGAGAGAAGCAATGTCAAACACCCCACATGTTGGCTTGTGTGCTCAACCAACACCATTTGATTTTTTCTCTGGTGTGTCCCTTCTCTCTTGCATTATTCCTTCTAATTGAAACCCTTTTGTTCCCTCTAATTCCTAAGCTTTTAAATTGCTTTTTTTTTTCTCTTATACCAAGAAAATCCAATATTTTCTTTTCATAATTTTATCAACCTTTTAGTTTGGAACAGTGAGTGATACAATTAATCTTTTTGTTGCCTTAAATTCTCACACTTCTGCATATAATGCGAGCATGTTGGTGTGGCCTCACTACTAAATAACTTACATTTTCCATTGGTTTTTAACAGTTACCAATACAAGTCATCTTTGTGTTGCGTCAAATTCTCACATATATCCATATGATATGAGCAAGTTGTTTTAGCCTCACTACTAATAAACTAACATATGATATGAGCAAGTTGTTATAGCCTCACTACTGATAAACTAACATTTTCCATTGGGTTGGGTTTGAAGGTGGTAGAAGCAATGACAGGACTTACGAATATGATCATCGTCGTAGCCAATTAGCTGGTTTCTACCCTCATTATGCCCCACAATATGTGATGGCAATGCAACAACTAAACAACAATCACAATTTTTACAGTTTCTCAAATTCCTCAGCATCAACAACTATAGCCAGGGAACCATCATCATCATCATTATCTGTTGCAGAGACGAGTGATAAAGTGGTGATTAGTGACCCCCCAGATGGTGTTCCCCCTCCATTTTTTGACTTCCTTGGAGTAGGAGCCACATGATACTCTCTGATGATTCAAAAGCTGCAAACTTTCCCGGAAATTCCTCAATATAGGTGTGGTCCAACATAACTGAGAAGCCATTCGAGGCAAATAGAAAGGATAGTTGCCTGAGTTTGGTGCACTGTGTAAACCTTGCGTCACTGCTTGTGTGTTGTGGATAATGATATCACCCGTCTCTCTTCTGATTTCCTTTCTTTCTCACATATGGGGGACCCTTTTGCAAACTATTTGAAAATAATGATGATAATTTAATTCCATTACTACTATAATCTTCATATGCTCATTTCATGTTTTTTTTTTTTTAACTTCTTTATATGGTTAATTCCTTTTAGTTAGATTTGCCACCCCACCAAATGAATATTCAAAAGGGTACCAAGGAATATTAACATGTCCCAGACATTCTTTGTTTCTTGGAATATATGGCTAATTCGTTAGGAATGTAGGTATGATGGTGATAATCAAAACAATTTAGAGCTGAAAATGTTAGGATAGGACAGGAATTGACATAGTCTTATTTTTTTATTATAAGGTTGCTTTTTGGGGTGGTAAGGGTTGTTTACTTCTTTTGCTTGTCGCCACAGAAAGATAGTTTCTGAAGTATTTGGGAGATGGTGATGAAAAATAGTGACGAGGATGGGTCCAAGTCCAAGAAGAAGAAAAAGAGAAATATAAAAAGGGTAACTGTTGAGAACATCGCTTTCTCATGGGCCTGCAATGCAATAACTGAGGCACAAATTCTGCAACTGACTCCATATGTGAATTCATAATGTGAAACTGTTCAATATCCTTCTCTCATCAGCAGAATCTTTGTGAGAATTCATGCCACCCTTCTGTGTAGAGTGGTTTTTTACTGGCCACGGTAATCCTATTCTCTACTAGATCCAGTGCTTCTTCTGTATGGTCGAGTAAAACAGGTTTTGTTTTAATATCAATCAATTTTTATTTTTTTTTGCGTTACACGATAAAAATCATAGTATTATATCATTAATATATCAAAAAAATTATGTCATCTGTTTAAAAGTAAATGATACATTATTATAAATAATTTTTATGAAAATTTATAATATTTAAGGTCAATGTATTAAATTGTTATTACGTTATTTTTAATAAAAAAATTTCTGTATACAAATTTTTATTGTGTATCCTTGTATACATTGAAAAATTATAATTAACAAGTCTTTTACATCCTTTATGGGTAATTTTCCTGAAAAATAGTATATTGCATGAAACTTACGTGACAAGAGTATTGTTTTATAAAGTCAAAGGATATACATTAAGAAAAATAATTAAGTATATGTTGTTGTTTTCAATAATGATAATTCTATTTAATTAAATGATTTTACTTTTGAAAATAAAGACAAAATTATAAAAGTAAAATATTTCGATTAATGCATTATATCTGAGTATTAATTTGGTATGATGATCAAAATTTAAAATATATATTAAAATTATAATTCACCAATTTAAACAATAACATTTGATAAAAAATAATAAAGAATGAGATATTTAGTACTTAAAAAAGTTATGTGGCATTTAGGTATGAATATTTAAATTTATAATGTGAGGATGGACTGATAATTATATATTAATATATTTTGTAGCACGACAAAATTAAATAAATTAGAAAAATGAAAAATAGATTATAGTGTTACGACAAAAAATGATTGAACTATTTTTGTGTTGTAAATTTTATCAGCTTGATTATACTAAAGAAATATATTTCTATAAATCATAAATTTTTTTGGCTTAATATGCTACTCACACAAGGCTTTTTATATTAATTATTATCTATATTAAAATAGTTATTAGGGTGAGGGAAATAGAGTACATGTTCTAACATTTTTATTAAGTGACAGATTAGGCTTTTAAGGGTCTCACGCCACATTGCCAACCCTTTTGCTTTTCATTTCAATGATTCATTTTCAATGACCGTTATTAAATGTGGATTTGGTCATGTTACTGAATCAATGGACATGGGTACTATTGTAATATTGTAAAGTTGTGGTAGAATGAGGTAATTTTTTTATCTCCTTCTATTTAGTTCTGAATCCTATTCACAGCACTTAAGAAAGGAGGTTTATATAAACTTTGTGATCAAATATGCTATACACATACTATTTATATTAAAATGGATAATATATGTATTAATAAAAAGTAAAAACATTGAGGTGGACTAGCAAATTTGTGTCACTTATAATAGATGATGCCTTCAATTATTAACTTTGCACATTGGAGATTTTTATTAAATTCTCATTATGATGAAAAATTGGTTCAATTTTAAATCGATTCACCTGTTCCGGGGAATTCAATATCGGCATATGCAAAAAAAGGTTAAAAAAAGTGGATCTTGGATCATACGATTTACTTGATCTAAAAAATTGTATTAATTTGGGGAGGTCATGGCACCTTCATGTCATCTATTTCCGGAGATTTTGATGGTGTCCGTTTGAGTTATTGGAATTTATGTTAGAAAATTATATTTTTTTTCAATTTTTTAATAATTTATTTAAATAAAATATATATTAAATGAAACTAAAATTTATGGTACTCTTTATAATAAAAGGAGTTTAATACTCTTTCATACACGTGGAACAGTCGTTAATATTAATTTTATAATAGTAAGTAATAGAGTTAATAATTTAATTGAAAAACACATCAATATCACTTAATTTTTAAAACATAAATGAACTTGTTATAAAATATTTTCTCAATCATATAAGTATAGTAATAAGCACCTTAAATAGAAATATATAATTATTATTTTAAAAATATAAAATATTCTATTTCAAGTGAAAGATTAATTTATACACATAATTTTTTTAAAGTAAATTTGATTTCTTTATTTGAAATGGATTTTCTTAAAGTTTAATTTACTTTAAAAATTATTCTAAAGTTTCTGTGTGCGTGTAAATTTTAAATTTTAAATAAAATTATAAATATATGATATCATATCAAAATATTAAATTTATTTATTTTATTATTTAAACATGTAAATTTGTTGAATTTAAGAGACCTTTTAAATAGTTTAAGACCTGACTCTTTTTCCTACTAAATGTTTTCTAAAAATAATAAATTTATGTAATAAATAAATATGGCCTAACTTAAACATGATATGGACTAAACTATTAGCTTCTGACAAATGTCTTAATCTATTTTCTTCCTTAGTCTACCCATTCAAATTGGCAAGCTGCAAGCAATTGAATTTTTAAGTTGTGCATTTAATTGAGTTTTAAGCTAAATATTTACTTTGTTATCATATTAAGTATTATTATGTTTTCCCTTAATAAATTCTACGGTTGGAATTATATAAAAAAATTATTAAGTGGTGTGAGTGTTGAAATTTGGTATTAAATTATTTAATCTTCATTAAATAAGTTATAATAACAAAAACTATCCTTTAACAATTTTCTGTATTAATAAATGCATATATATTTTTTAATATCATTAAGCTTGACTAGTGGTGGAAATTTATGACAGTTACATCAGAAGTGGAAAAAATAAAAGATCACTTTTCTAAGAACAACCAGTTTACCATTCAAGACAATTAATTTTAACGAAATCATGCGAGTTTGTATGGTCCAAAATTTTGGATCAGCGAGAAATTAAGTTGGTTTGGGCTGCAGTGAAGCCCAATCAGCTTGATCACTGTCACCAGCATTGCCCTACCGATCCTCCACAAAGAAAAGAATCGAATTTTAAATTTGAAACTGCAAAGTGGACCAAAATCTCTGTATATGCAACTGAAAAAAAAAAGTGCTGGTAAATTAAAGCCCGTTTAGTTCAGAATATATATTTAAATGAAAATGTGTGATTATTTTTTAAAATTAATATGTTATTTATAAAATTATAATATAATTTTATTTATTTATTATATTATTATATGTATAATTATTTTAAAATAAAATACTTGTGCACTCCAAAAACCACTAAACTAATTCGACTAAATTTTTGCTTCACAAATTTTGTAAGTTGACTAAAATAAAATATTTATCCATTCTGATTTTAATGGTGATATTTTTTTGTTCTTTTATCAATGATTGTCAATATATATATTTTTTGCTGCGTGTATACATTTCAGCACACACGTACACATTATTATACTGTTTTTGAATCAGAATTTTGACAAATTTTCCTTTTAATTAAAGTATTCACACAAACATCATTTTAAAAATAACATTTTAAATAGTTTTGTAATTAAACAATTTTTTTCTATAATTAACATAAGATTGTGTAATATGATATGAAATATCCAAAATATACAAAACAATGCAAACAACATTGACACATTACACATTAAAAGAAATTTAGAAACAAAATTCAACAAACTTGATAACAGTTATGAAACTAGATTGAAAGCTATAAATCATGAAAAGTAAATTAAATTATAATTAAAGAAAATTACAAACCTTAAGAATTAAAGTCTCAATTCACAAGTATTAATTATGAAAAAAGACAATTGCATCTAAATATCACCCATATGCCACACTTCCACTAGATTACATACGAAATTAAGGAAAATCATTCATCTAAAACTCTGTTCTATAATACTTAAAAATTCATTGTGAGCAATTATTTCATCTTCATTTTGATCAACAGCATTAATCATTTTCTGACATTCCATCAAATCTTTTTCTAACCCCCCAAACATGACAAGATCCTTTGCAATTCACTTGCCTCTATAAACCCATCTTTGTTTTGGTTGAACACATCAAAGGCTTCCTCTAACAAGATAACATCATTTTTAAATAATTGTTCAATTTCTTGTATACCAAACTCCTCTTTTTCATTCCATTTAACATTCATTTTTAGCTTCGCCATAACCAAAACTATGTTTTCTTTGGACACTTGTACACCACTCTGAATGTAGTTCAAACTTTGTTTTATCGGTTTGGATTTTGAATTAATTTTAATTTTGGTCCAAACTATAAATACTTTAGAGGCATAATTAAACACAAACTTGAAGTAAAAAAAGAAGAAAAAGGAAAAAAAACACCTTATTCTAATGTTCCACGTTAGAATTCTAAGATACAAAGAGAGCAAAGATAGATTTACTTTACCAAGTTTATGGTCCATGGATATCTAGAAGAGGAACTGATTACACTGAACTATTGTGGATATGGTTGTCTTGCATTCAGTGTCCAATTTATAAACATGAAACAATGACCCTTTATGAGCTTCAAATAGAAGCGTCAACCCTTAACGTGATCCAAGGGGGAATTTGCTTTATTGCTACATGATTTCTCGAAAGCAAATGCTTCATAAAAGACACTCACTAAATTTCTTTTTTATTTAACGTTTAAAGTTTTGTACATGGATTAAGAAAATGATTTTATAAAAAAATATTACTCAACTTTCTATTATGCCCTTTATTTTTTTATATTAACTATCTCATTTACTTAGTATTCTCTGTCACATAAACATTAATTATTACGAGTAAAATCGTAAAAGAATATAAATTATTCATTAATTTCATGAAATGATAATGAAAAGTGAATAAATTATAATTGCAGATGTTTTAAAAAAATAGAGTAATAATAAGAAGAAAAAAAGTACTCATGGTTTGTGTATTAAGGAGTAAAATTTTCAATAACTTATTGGGAAAGTGTAAAAATGTGGAACTTCTATGAAATTCACGAAGAAAAAAGTTGGCATAGAAAGAGATGTGAAGACTCGGAATGAGATGTCTGATAAGAGAAGAGACACAGGGTTAATGGTACATGGAAAAGACAAAAGCCCTGAAATTTCCTAAGGATTCGTAACATGTGCCAAAGTTGAAGTTTGTCAAAGAAAAACGCTAATAAATTTTGGAGGGGACCACAAAGGAAATTTTTCCAGAAGTTCCATAGAAATGGGAATAGCCATTGCTTCAGTTTAGCGGTCAAATTTTGCTTTAGATTAAAATTTGCTTATCTCATTTTACTCGAACGAGGAAACGTGTATAATTCACACTTATACTCTGTTTGGTGAGAAGGAAATACAATCCGGGTATTTAAGTGCTCGCTTCATTATCAATTTTTTTAACAAGTGTTGGTTTGATTTCTAATTAAGTAAAATTAATTGATTTATAAATATATTAATCTGAACTACATACTTTAATTTTTTTTTATTTTTTATTTTTTACTGATGTGTGCTCATATTAATTTTTTAATTTTGATCTAAACAAATCCAATTAGACAAAAAAATGTAAAGAATGAGAACACTTGTTTTTTTTTTTTTTTTACTTACCGATACCCTTCACACAATAAGCCCAAGAAAATACTTACTAATTTTGAGTACACTTAAGTGTTTCTTTTATATTTAAGGTACACTTTTGTAGTAATAATAATAACAATATACTTTTAATATTAAATTTGAATAATTTAAATAATGAAATTGCTCGACCATCAACATCATAGGCTCTGTTGAAATAGATTTCACCCCTCTCCACAGGTCATCTTCCTATTTTGCCACATGCGTTGGTTCGGTCCTCCAAGTCACTCAAAAGTTAAAAAAAAAAAAGGAAAAAGAACAAGAACTGAAAACAGGCAAATCCAAAACCTATCTCATTTTTTATTTCAATTATAAAATTAATATCTTATTTTTATTATATTTTAAAAAAAATTGAACAAAAATATTAAAGATATATATTTTTTGAATTTTCACTGACAGTCCTTTATTTATTTATTTAAATAATGTTAAGAAATAATTATATATATATACGCATATAACATTCTTGGAGTGTTATAAAATATTTTATGAAAGTTTTCTAGATTTATTAAAGTTTTCAAATGTATTTTTAATATATTTTTACTCTATATAGTAATTGATAATTTTTTTACATTAATAATTAATATTTTCTATCTTAAATTTTTTTATAAAATTAAAATTTAAAAACTATATATGAGACATTTTTAATAAAAAAATACGTGCATGAATGTGTTTGTAATAAGATATAATTGTACTGTTATATAAGTTGATTTATGAACGGAGAGGTTTTGAAATTTTAATCTTATATTGACATAAGAATAATGAATATCAAACGAGATAATTATATTAGAGAATATTTATAATACATGTCATCTAAGTAAAAAAAAATTATTGATTTAACTGTTAAATTATTACTATTGTATATTGTCTAAATTATTTGTGTCATTTTTAAAAAAATTACATAACTATAATAATATTATCAAATGATCCTTATTTTTTAATTACAGAAGTTTAGAATAAATTATAAAAAACAAATTAAATATTTTATAAAATAATGAATATTAACAGATTATTCTTTTTTACAATTAATAATGAATTTTTTTTGTTCTCTTTATGGTCTGCGAAAGAAGACCGGCAAGGGCGAATTGTTAAGGCCCAAAAGGTTGAAAAAGATACATGCAAACTGGAGCCCAGCTTTGTTGTTGGTTGTTGGAGGTCTAATATCCTATTTTATTTTCTTTATCTGCTTTTATTGTATATTCCTAAATCTTAATTCTTAAAAGTGAGATATCTTGTAAATTTATTTTCTCTCACGTGATATTATACTATTATTATTTTTAAACATATTTTCTCTCTTTACCTATTCACTTTTAAAATTGATTATGATAACTTGTTATTTTAGTTTATAATTTGTTATATACGATAGCATGATTTTTAAAATGAAATAAATTTTCTTAACAATTAAACATTTTCAGTTTCAATAATTACGGGCAATAGTTTATTTTTTATTATGAAATATCAAAATTATAAAATAACTTAATTTAATGTTTTTTGGGTTGACTTATCCCATTTTTGTGAGGAACGAATCATATTAATTAATAGCCTGACGTATATGACAAGTTGCTTTTATTGCGGCCATTCAACGATTCAACCAAATAATAAGACACAGATTGTGAAATTGCAGACACAGTTATTTAATTCAACGACTACTGTTCCGCGGAAAAAGGACAATCTATACCAATTGTCATTTACGTTCGGATTTTATTTTTCACAAGTTCAAAAATAGAATACTTTTAATTTAAAACTATTATTAAAATCCTTTATTTTTATTTTTAGTATGTTTAATTTCAGTTTTCAATCAATATTTATTAGTGCACGCTTTGTTGTCTACATTTTAACATAGAAATATTCATTAAATACTACATTAATAAAAAAAAGTTGATCAAAACTTTAAAAATTATAAATCGGTATAATTTATGAGTCCTATAAATTTCTATTGCATCAAAGCGGTAACTAGTGAGAAAATTCAAACTCATTTAACAAATGTCAAATTAGAATAGTATTACTTTCACCGGCACTTTCAAAATTAAAAAATATATATATTTAAGTTTATAATAACATTGTTGCTAGATTTGTTATGTGTTATTTTGTCTTGTGGGGATATTTGGAGAAGTTATAGAAAGTATAACTTTTTTTAGAAATAACTCATAATTATTGTAAATTTATTTAAATAATTTTTATATATAACTTGTTAAAATAAGTTTTTTTTCAATTTATTTTAATTAAATTTATAGAATAAAATTTTATTTTAAAATAAATTATTAAAAAGCACTATAAAGTTACTAATAAAAAAAATCCTTAATCTTCCATAATTTAACCAGTTGGATTACTATAAATCTCTTTTATAGTATCAATTTTCTTAACAATCAATGACTACCATTTTATCATGAAAAAAGTGCTATTTCTCATAATTTTTGTTCTGATATGAGGAGGAAGAAATGATGTCTCAATCCACTCAAACACCTTTGAGGTTTCTTTATAAAGTATTTGAATGGTTCAAACCGAAAGAGTTTTAAAAAAATGCATGAATAATTGAACAAGTATTTAAGTAAAACAACAAAGTTTTACCTTTTTAAAATAGACTTTCCTCTCCATTTTAGCCGCAAAACTCGTGATCATGCAAATGCTTAAATACTCAAATTAATATTATATGCTATGGATTAGTTGATATTAATGGTAGTGGTAGGCTCCAAGATAGCAAAGTTTAACCTGCATGGACATGTAAAGGTGCACTCACAGTATTTTGGTGTGAAACATTTGAGGCATTTGGTAAAGAAGACCTTATTGCACCAATAAACACTTTAATTTCCAAAGTCATGGATCGTTCTTACCCGTAATTGAAGTAACAAGAACCTACTCTATTTAATGCTTAGACTTTCTTTACATATCTACCATATCTTAAGATCGCAGGTCATCACGCCTATAATTTTACTTCATTAAATTTAATCCAAATAGGTTAGACCTTTATCAATTAAGTTTTCACAGGATGCAAAACATTATGATGCCCCTCATCTTAAACCATAATGATCTTCACAGTAATAAAGATATGTAAAGACAAGATATAAATGCATTACAAAGGATATTTGTTCCTAAAAAGAGTACCCATCGTTTTTACACAATTTTTATTTTAAATAAATAGTACAATAAAAATATACTTTTCGACATCTTTGTCTTTTGAAGGTAAAGATAAAGGTTAAACTATTTCACAAGTTCGTATAATTTAATTAAATTTTCAAATAGGTTATCAATGTTTAAACGTTTATGATGGAAGGTTCATGGTCATAAATTTTTTAAACAAGCCCTTATGTGTTAACGGTTGTCTTTGATAAATTTTATTGATCTATATCACTGTCTATTTGTCAAAAATTTTAATTAAGCTATTTCTTTAATTTCAAACTCAACTTATTTAATATGTTTTAGATATGAGATAGGAAAAAATTAATAATAAATGAAAGAAGAATAAAACTGAAATTAAAATATATTTTATAATAATGTTTTAAAACAAATATTATATATATCGATTAATTTAAAATATTACTAATATATAATATTAGATTGAAGTTGAACAACTCGAAATATTATTTACACTTAATTTCAGGTCATGTCAAATTTCTTTTGGTAAAACATGCTTTAAATTAAACCCATTAAATTCAATTTATGATGAAAATGAATTAACTGAACATGACAAATAATTAATATCCATAAATGAAATGAAGAAATATATATAATCTCTTACAAGATCCACGTAATGTTAGGTACATTATTAGGTTCATATTGTATTTTATGAAGCTTTAAATTGGGAAGTTCTTGTCCCCGATTTGCCACTATACATGAAGCCAAACCTGGATATACTGCTAAAATTAGGGAGCAAACAGACACAGGTCCTTCCTAATAAAAGAGAAGAAATAAATGCACAGAAAAGGAGAGCAAAAGAAACCAAAAACTAAGGACCACAATGCCAATACTCCAAAACATGTGGCCACCTCCTCTTCATACCATCTATATATCAAATATCTCTCTGTTTCTAAATTCCCTCATTCATATTTCGTTCATAGGTAACTTAACTAAACTTCACATCTGCCTGCCCTTATAATTATATAAATAGAGAATAAAATTAATGTTACTTTTAATTAATGATTTCTAGTTTGCTAGAGTTGCCAATTACTCATGAGAGATGAAGATAAATGTTATTTTTTTGCAAAAAGTTTATATAAAATTTGTTATAACACCTTTGAATAAAATAGAAAATGAGTAAAAATAATAGATAAACATGGTGAGAAACAAATATATAAAAAATGATTTGTTTGGGTAGATAAAAATAAGAGAGAAACCGATAATTTTTTTTTACTTTACTCGTTTTAATATTTTTATATTATTTTAAAATTTATTTTCGATAAAGTGTAGAAAAATATAAAAGATTGTAGTAAATCTCATGAAAATTTTATTTTTTATTCATATAAAACAAAACATTTAAAATAGCAAAAATAAAAATAAAAAATCTAAATGCATACATTTTTTATGTACTTTTTATTTTTATATTTTTTCATAAAACAAAGCATAAGAAATACAACAACAAAAAAAAGAATGTGATAGAAAGATTTTTAAAAAAGTTATTATAAACGCATTATAAGGGTTCTTTTATGAGAAAAAATAAATAAAAAATTACTAAAATATGTTGTTTTTAAAAAATTACAAAAAATATGAAATTTTTTAAAAAATTGTCAATGATGATTTTAAATTAATTTTTTTTCAAAAATTAATACTGACAACTTTTTATCTTTAAAATTTTTTATTATTTTTTCCAAAATTGTTAGTGACAAATTTTTATTTTTATAATTTTTTAATATTTTTTAAAAAATTGTCGGTGATAATTTTTAAAATTTAGTAACTTTTTGTTAGCTTATCATATTTACACCAATAATTATTATTTACAATTTTTAAATTTTATATTTTTGTAATTTTTTCAAAAACACCATATTTTTAATATATATATATATATATATATATATATATTTTAAATCTCATATATATAAAAAATTCCCCATTATAATTAAAAGATGGAAAAAAGAAGTAAAAGCAGACTCATAAAGTTAGATAACTTTATGTTGTTTTCCTGTTTGGGATGCTATATATCAACCTGATGTTTGAACATTGGACACAATTATTCGAGTTTATCCGCAGAAACCAAAAAGGCAAACAAAGTTTATTTTCTCTTTTGAATTTTGCTTTTCTATTATAATATGTCCGGCTGCGTATTTTAAAACAAATTAATAATCAATTGTAAAATAATTATATATTGATTTATACCTCGGTTGTGTTTAATTATATTTTACATATTTTTTAACTAAATAAAATATACAAGGAAAAAGACAAATATCAATCAAACTTTGAACTAATTAACGAAAATATTTTCTTTTTCAATTTTTAATTCAAATACTATTTTATTTTTTTTTATTCTTTTGGAGTTAAATTTTTTACCTTTTAAACTTTTTAATATTATTGATTCAGTATAAAAGTGGTAATAAAAAAATTAATATATTTACTTACACAATAGCTATTGATTATTAGGCATTTTGCATAATAGATAGGGGCACAAAAGTACGACTAAAAAAGTGTATAAGATTGGTGGATTTTACAATGATGGGTATATGATTGCAAGCTTTCCCACTGTGAATGGAGCAACTTTTTCACTTGGTATACAAATTTTGATAATTTATGAAAGAGGTGAGATGTTTGTAGAAGATGTGGCAATTTTGGAAAATGAAATAAAAGTGGTTGCAGAGGCAAAGGTAGCAATGGTGGAAATTGACAATTATTGCAATAACATGAAATTGGTAGTACCCTCTTATGTCGCGTTTGGTTAGTTTTCAATATGCTCCTACTTTGAATCATACAAAATATATGTTAATTTTTTATTTTGGGATAGAGTTTCAATCATTAATAATGTTAAAATTTATTTAAAATAATTATTATACTTTTAATATAATCAATTATTTTTTATAAAAATTATTTTTTAAAATTGAAGTTAATAAAACTATTTTTATAAACGTTGGCTAATGTTTTTATAAACGTTATTACCTAAGACATCCTCACAAGTAGACAACCAGAAAAACGATGGAAAGAGAAAGAAATAAAACTTTGTTGTTTAACTTGATTGGAGCTAATATTGCTTTGAAGGTAAGAAGTGGGATTAATTTCAGTCTAATAACTGTAAACTTCAATTTATTTATACTGGTTTCCTCTAATTAAAGTGAGAAACACTTTAAAATATAAAAATATATAATTTTAATTAATATGGCAATTATTGAAATCGTGAAAAAAAATGCAAATACATTTGTATGATAAAATATTATAACTGTTAAAATCTTAATTAATTAATAATGTTTTTATGAACGATTTTAAACTAACATTTATTCTTTAAAATGAATTCTTTCTTTATTTTAAAGGAGGCATATATATACTAAGATAATTATACATTTAAATCATTAATTTTTCATTAGTAGATATCAACTTTATTAAGTGATCATTAGTCATCAGTCGACAACTACCTCAAAGAAAATGCTTTTTGACTCCACTCGTGCGAAGGTCGCATCAGTGCTTTATTGCCTTGGCACATCATGAATTTATGTATTATGAACCCATTGGGCAATATTGGGTGCTGATATGAGATATTTTAAATTTGTCTGAGGTGGCAAGACAAAATATTAAATGTATACAAAATAATAAAAATTAAAGAATGCCGAATATGTAACAGTATGTAAATATACATTAAAATAATGTTACTGGTATATAGGAAAGAGGTGTAAAATAAAAAAAAAGAGGATAAAAAAGGAAAAATGAAGCAAAAGAAAATTAAAATATTATACAAAAGTATAAATATTATTATTGTCAACATTATTATAATCCCATTAAGTTACGGAAGTTGACATAACACAGTGAAAAAAAAGAAAAGAAAAGCTGGGATAAATGTCACAAATCACAATTTGGAATTAACATTACTACATTAATGTAGAGAATCTCAAAAACAAAAACAAAAGAAGAAAGAAGAAGCCACAGCAAGCTTCTGATGAAGACCCTAAGGCCTAAAGGCCCTAAAACCATTGGATTTTAGTCCAAGAATCTCCTTTTCCTTTGTCTTTTTCTCCTAGTTATTTATCCTGTCTCACATATTATATATATATACACCAAAGATATTTACTCAACAAGTTATCTAAATCTGAAAAAAAAAAAAAACCTGTTCACTCTGACAGGCTCAAGATTGCAACTAAGAGAAGCTAAACTATAACTATTTGGTTGGCCAATAATACAACTGAAGAGAAGCAAAAACATTTTTTTATCAGAATATGGGATGTAGCTGCTTCAAAAACACTTTAAGAATCTGAAGAAACTATTTGATCACTGTGATAAAATTCCCAATCAGGTTCTCTCATGGAACACAAGAGACCTTGACAAAGCAGCAGGGTTGGCTTGCAAAACTGGGGATGCTTCAACCACCACATGATTCTTTTGATCACTACCCTTTGATGCAAATGCCTTGAAAAGTCCTCCTCCATTCAGAGAATTACCCTTCTCATTCTTGATCCCTAGTGTTGACCATATAGAACTCTTCGCAGCTTCAGTAGGGTCATCAATTCTCAATGTCTTTGGGATCAACACGCCATTGTTTTCTATATTGCTCTTTTCTTTCTGTGAGTTGGTTTGAAAGAGTACGTCACCATCTCTTGAGTGTTTCCCTAAAGTAGGTGAATTTGGGCCAGAACTAGGGGCAGATTGGTAATTAACAGAAGATTGTGGAGAGACAGAGTGAACACTCCAAGAGGGTGGTGCCATGCAACCCCAAAATGCTGGTGTGGGATAGAATGGAACAGATTGGCAAAAAGCAGGAGGAGTCATTGAAGGGTTCCATGAATAAGGCCAAGAAGAAGAAGAACCTGGTAAGCACAATTGAGAAGTGAAACCTTGATAACTCTTCATATTATCCATTGATTCTTCTTGTGAACTAGTAGCATTGTTTTTCCTCTCAGACAAAGTTGAAGCCGTAACAGAAGCACCACCACCTAAGTTATTATCATCATCCCTATTATTATTAGTACTATTTTGCTTAGATGCATGAAACCCATTATGTGTTTTCTCTGCAAGGCTCAACACAGAAGCCATAGAGTCACAAAGAGGAGAATCTGATCCAAAGGTGAGAACAGCACTGTGTAATGATCCATTGGGTATTTGAATAGCCTCAGGAACCATCATTTGGCGATAGTGTGTGACAGAAGAAGAAGAGTTTTTGTTCTTGCGGCGACCAGCACCCACTGGAACGTTTCTCATGGTTCCTCCTGCAGTCCAATATCTCTGGCAGTTCTTGCAAAAGTGACGAGGCTGGTTGACATTGTAATTGTTGTAGTAACAGAACTTGGTGTCCATGCTGTTGCATCGAGGGCATGCAAGGATCTTGTCTGGTTTCTTTGGAGTTTTGTCTTGTGTTGTGTCGCTTTGTTCTGTGTTTTTGGAGGGTTTTGGCAAAGAGGTTTCTCTTTCAGTTGAAGGAGTCTTTGGGTTCTCAAGAATGCTTGAAGATGTTGGAGATTTTACTTCCTCTGTGGCTTTATGGGAGGCCTCTTCGTCTTGTGCTGAGGTTAGTTCTTCCCTTGATGGCTCCTTAAATAAATACACAATATTAGATATGACATTCTTATAATTTTCACTGTAGTTTATACGACATGGGAAATTGTAAAACAGTGAACCCAAAAGTTCGATACCAACACTAAATCTGTAATTGGGTGAAGAATGATTTGTTTGTTATCACGTATAAATAAACGAAAGAAGCAATAAAGGGGTGTCTATTACTACATGTCGTACGTTTATTACTGTTTCTTTTTAATTAATATTTGTCTAAAATACTCATATTAATACTATGGTTATAAAAGCAAAAAAAAAAAATAATAATATTTGAACAAAAATTATTTAAATAAGAGTGAAAATACATAATTAGTATAATAAGAGACATACCTAAGCAATAATAGGTCATTGTTCTTGATAGTATGTTATATGACTTTTTTAATATATGCTCAAAATGCACAACAAAAAAATATTAAATAATAATATTTTATTAAAATTTTAACATTTAATATTATTATATGATTTTTAATGTATTAAATCTTGTGATTTAAATTAAAACTTATAATATATAAATCTCTTTATGTTTTTTCAATCTCACTTTGTAGTGGTAAAAAAAACATTTTGGTTTTTGTAGTGATTATGATTCAAACATATGCTTTACCGTGGTAGTTTAAAGTGCAATGTCGGGAATTAGTGAAATCCCACAATGAAAACAGGGGAGAAAACAGAGGTCATATATGTGATTTATTCTTCCTTATTAATCAGGTTTAATTTCTTAAATATGACCTTTGCTTGATGGAAGGGGGCGTTAATGTGGAAGTAAACAGTAGATAATCAATAAAATATTCGAACACTTCATCACGAAAATATCCCTTAATTTCTGAAGAAAAAGAGAGGGTTATAGACTCGCAACTCTAAAGTACAGAATTAGACGAAGCTTTCAAGAAATACGAACTATAACACGGACCATGGAGAAGAATTCAAAAAGTGAAGCAAATTAAGTTCTGAATACAACTGTTAAGTATCAAACAACATCGAATGGAAATTTTATAATAATAATAATAAAACAAGAACAAAAAAAATCTTCAACTCCTTATCAAAAGGTTAAGAGCTTAGTAAGAAATTAAATAGTATAAAATAGTTCAAACCATAAATAAAACAAAAATATTCTTCTATAGAGAATTCCTCCGTGAGACAAGTCTTATTTGGAAACAGAATAATCAATTGAATTTACAGTGTCAAACTAAAATAAAGTAAGATCCAATTGAAGTTCAACGCGTGAAAAGCAACTTAATTATAATTTGGTAGAGCAAGAAATTCAATTAGAAATCCTCAAACCATCCAAATGGCTACAGAACTTTGGGATGCTGCTAGAGATCCAATAAGAAATAAACTTGAATTTGCAAATTTAACTAGCTTTATGTACCAAAAATATTATCTAGTACAGAATCAAACATTCCAAACATGAAACTTTGAAAACTTACTTTGGAATTTGGGTTACTAAAGCCTAAAGTAAAATTATTGATTCACAACTAGAATGGACAAAACCAAAGCAAGTTCAACCACATAATATTATTCCTTATTCTTAAAATTATATTCTGGGAATGAACTGGATCCAGTTCCGTTGACAGTTCCCCACAATGACTTGTGGCCGCCACTTAAAAAACGATTAAAAATAAAAAAAGTAAATAATTTCATCAATGATCTGTTATCATGCAAAACACTGTGTACTTTTCAAACAAAAAGTTCTCAAAACATCCATGGGAAATAGCAGTGAGCCTCAATTGACCTTAACTAAAAGCCAAAAAGATGAAAATTTTGAACAAACCCATTAACAATTGCGAGTTTCTGAGAAAAGGGTCGCTGTTGAATTTTCAAAACACACCAGTAAGCACCATAATTTTTTTTTTTCAAATTTCAAACTCAACCCTCAAATACACACACCACCATGGCACATACCTTATCCCTCTCTGCTTCATGGTCCCTTGTAGAGTTCACTTCACGTGGAGAAGATGAAGATGAAGGAGGAGAATGATCAGAACAATCTTCAGGAGGTAAAGGATGAACAGGTTCAGAAGAAGAACCATTAGTAGAAGAAACCTCTTTGTTGCGTGGCAGAGAAATTGTTCTACCAAACAGCTTTATGGCAGAGTCCTTAATAACCTCAGACATTCCTTGTTTGTTATATGTTAACTAAGGACTCGGGTTCAGGAATATCTCTCTCTTCACTTCTTTTCTCTCTTCTGTATTTTGGCTTAGGTTTTTTCTCTTTCTTCAAAAAAAATGAGGGAAAAATCAGAGGAAAAATACATAAACAAGTATATATAGAAGTAGTAGTTGTTTGTAGGTGTAGCAGTGCTGTTTTTGTTTCTTTGCTCTGATTATTTGATCATCGTGTGCAACGAAAATGGATAGTGAATAGTGAAGGAGAGAGAGAGAGAGAGAGAGAGGCAAGGTTGTGTGAACAGGCTTATTAACAAGGTTGGAATGCCACTTCAGCAAAGGGGAAATTTTGTGAGCCACAAGTTCTTGTGGCCTATGAGATCTTTGTGTGCGGTTGGATTCCCCCACGTTACTTATAAAGATAGTGCTGTCTGTCCCACCCCTTTTATTCATCCATGTCAGCTTCTTTCATCTTTTGCCTTTTTGTCAATCCCTCTTTCTTTTTCTTCTTCAGTTTTCTGTAGTCAAATAAATTTTTACAAAGATTAGACATTATTTAGTGAACTCGAATTAAACTTATATTTTTTTGAATCTGATCTACTAAAGTCCATTAATCACAATGAACTGACTTGAATAATAAACTTTAATTTCTTTCTTTTTTTTTTAACTTTTAACTGTTATCTTTTTAAGGAACTTCTATTCTTAATCTGGGTGTGAATTTTGGATTAAACTTACACCCCTTTAGCAAATAAGGAGAGGAGATGTTATTGTTAGAAAGCACATTATAGTGCAAGTCAAAGAAAATTGAAGCAAATTAACAGCAAGAATATAAACGGCATACCCAAAGGAAGATGAGTGTAATATTTATAAACATTGGTTGATGATGGAGTGAGGGAAGGGGTCCATTCTACTTAAGTCATGGGGTAGGCATCCCCTGTAATAACCATATTGCATGGGCAACATGTTTAACTATTCTATAACTAAGCTTTGGGAGGTTGTTCAAATTCCTAAAGTGCCCCCAAGATCTCAAACACAAGTATCACACTTATTTCTTGACCCATCTAAGGTAGGTGTGTGATGTGAGGCCTTCATCCTATCTCTGACCTCGTCTAAATCAAGAAAAAAAGTTAACAATATATTTTTTAACATGTTGTTGAGTATTTGTTAAAATTTATTAAAAATTATAAAATATATAAGTTACATTCTTAATTTAATAACTATTTCTCTGAATTTAATGTTTTTTCTGATGTTTTTATAGTTTTAATAAATTAAATTAATAATTAAGAGTGTATTAAAGTTTATATCATTCCTACTTTAGTTTATAAATAGTTATAGAAAAGAAAATATATAAAACCATGAAATAATTTTTGTAAACAAAATTTCAGTGTATTTTCTTAAGTATATTGTTAACATAATTTTTAATCAAAATTAAAACTTTATCTCAATAAAATATTAACTTTTAAGGTTATCACAGTTGCATGTTATCAGAATAAATCTTTAATTTTGATAAAATATAATAATATATAAAATACCTAAGAACTTACACTTAAATTTTATCTTTTTCGTAAGTCACATAAATCTATAATTTTTCTCTTTTATAATAACATTCTTTGCCCTTAAAATAACTGTTTTTCCTTTCATTCCTTTACTTATCTTCTCCCGATTAATTAAGAAGTTTTTGAAAAAAAAAATTATATTAAATATTTTTTATTCAAAATTATTTTTCAATACATAGTTTTTCTTCTTTTTCCTATGCAAATAAGGGAATTATAAACGAAAAAAAACAATAATTTAAAAAACTAGTATTTTGAATATAGTCTTGAAATGGTAACGTGTTTAGCCTGGCTTTGGTTCAAAAATTTGAAAACTAGTACAAGTGATTTAAAAAAAATAAAATCCTATATCATTAAAAGAAAAAAATAAGTACAGTATTGTTGATGTTGCTAATTAAAAAATACCTTTATTATACAGATTATCAATATGAAACTCTAACTCTAATTAAATCACATTAAATAATATAATGTAATTTTCTGAACATTTTTCTTAGAAAAAATGTTTCAAGAACTAGTTTAAACCAGTAAATCGTTGACTTTTATCGATTTAGGGTTTAGGGTTTAAGATTCTCATGTTGGCCAGTTTTGTGTTTTTGGGATCAGTTACTAGGCAGGCTCCGAATACATTCGATTGAACTAAGTCGGTTTTCAGAACTTTGGTTACATATTCATAAAAATTTATTATTTGCTAACAAATAAAATATTACTTAATGCTAGAATCACTTTTATTGGTATAGTTTTTGTTCAATAAAAGTTAAATTGTTAATAAAGACTTTTAAAGTTTATACCAATTAATTCGGAGTCTGGGTAATACACGAGTTTTATTCAACTTTTTTTATGAATAATTAGAAACAATTTTTTTTATAAAAAATTACATTTAAAGAATTATTGTGAATGCTGTTTTAATGATAATTTTTAAAATTTTGTGACCTGTTATTTATTATAATGGATACATTTAGGACTTTATATTTCCAGTTTTTTTGTTCTATGTAAAAATATTATTATATTCAATTATGTTTTTAAATAAAAGTAAAATTATATTATATGCCTTTTTTAAATTTTAAAAGAGTAAATAATTTTTAATAATAATAATGAATATTTTTTATACTAAATAGACTAAATTAAAGAGATATTATATTTAAAACTCAAATAAAAATTGAATAAAAAAACTAAAAATTATATGTAAGACAACTTATATAGAATAATTAAAAAGATAATAATATTTAATTAAAAATTCTTTCATTTAATAAAATTCTACATATCTTTTATATATAATTAATGAGAATACTTTATTACGTTAAATAAAAATAAATAAAGAATAAAATTTAAACATAATAACATTGATGCAATGAGCTATTATAAAAATAAAATTAGGACATTAATGGGAAATGTTCTTCTGTAGTTGGTTTAATTTTTTAGCTGCTTCACTGGCATTAATGGGATCTTAATACTATTTTGATATATTGAACATGATCGCTAGAACAACTCTAATACCGAAAGAAATTTTTCATCCATTTCCATGCTTGGTAGTTGTATAGTTTATAAAATTTGTAAATAAAATGTCTATTATGATCATCATTTCAAATCCAACGTTAAATATTCTAATTTTTATTAGAACCATTTCGGACAAATATACTGAAATAATAATTAAAATGTTATAATGTAAAGAAAATAACAATTGAGGCAATTGATAACAATTTCTTTGAATTCAAGCATTAAATTCTAAAAACACAAGTTATCTACTATATTATTTCATACCTAATTACAGTATCCTAAACAAAGACCAAGTAATAAATCATTAACTATGAGCATTTTAATATTGACAATAAATTAGTTAATAATGTACTAATAAGAAAAAAAAAAGTCACTAAGAGCTTATAACTTATCATCTTTATAATTGAAAACAAAGAAAGAAGCTATCAATACTACAAGGTATAAAGCAAAGATGAATAATGTAGGAAGTGGATTGACAAATTTACAATACTCAGCTCTTATAATTTGATTTATCATTCATTTGTTTATACACATATGAAAAATATTTGATTAAAAATGATTCTATGAAAGTCACTCTTCTTACGATGTAAAGATTATAGCCAAAGAGAAGATCTCTCTTAGCCACTACAAAACATATAATCAATACAAATATTATAATAATTTCTTCATAGTGACTTTTATCTCTCGAAACAACAAAAATTCTACCTATCATTTCCAAATAGTTATATATTATCTAAATACATATTTATTTATTCACTAATATATAATTTTCTTTTTTTTTCTTAATGTTTATCTAATGATAAAAATTAAAAAAGATAACAACAAAAGAGATGTTATTTATTATAGTATTTGTATAAATTATTGTTAATATACTGTCACATGAATAATAATTAATTTTTATATTATGTATTATATTTGGTTGTTTAAAACATAAACTGTTCTAAATATCAATTGCATAATTTAAGGTAAAATATATCTAATATAATTTTAATAAATAAATATTTATCTATTATTGAGATATTAATAGATATTTTCTAGATAGAAACTATCTTATTATTTATTGAGCAATTTTTGTTTTAACGTAATTTATAATAAATAAATAATATATTTATAATATAAAAAATGTAACAATTACACAGTTAATACTCATGAAATTACATTTGAGTGAATATCATTTATTCAAGTTAAATGGCATTAATATATTCTCTGATTCTTATTTAAATAATAATTAATAATCTAAAAGTTTATCAAAATATATTATATTTTTACTGTAATTAAAAAATGAACAGAAATTTGTTATTTAAAATTAGTACTCGTGTTGTATATAAAGGTAGATAAATAATATAGTATATTAATATTTGTATCTTAATAATATATATTAATATTCCACAGTAAAAAAGTTATTTATCATTATAATATATTATATTATTAGTAAAAAGAAAAAATATTTATATTAGCAATTTAATTTTCATTAAAGAATTTAAATTAACAAAAGAATATTATTGAATAACATTTTTTTAATCCATCTTCCGTGATTTGTTCTATTTAAATTAAACTTGTGGGATTCATCCATGTTATTAAATATGAGAAATGATAATAATATTATTTTTAATATACTTGTTATTATTTAAAATAATTTATATATAAATCACTAGTACATTGAATTCAGAATTCATGTCATATAATAACAAAGAATATATTAGAAAAAATTGTTACCTTTAGCAAAAAAAAAAAAAAAACTGGTTACTAGTCTTTTTTTTTTTTTAAAAGAACTCAAGTTGATAATCAATTTGTATATATAATTTGTGAGTAATAATTTTTGAATGATAGTATTTTTATGATTATTTTTAAGTAAAAATATTATTAACGATTAAAATTTTTGAAACATCATGTCAAGCATTTATTCTATGTTATGTATTTATTTTTAATTTAATATTAATTTAAATTTTGAAAATTTTAATAATTTTTTAAAATAATGTAATGTTTATTTTTAGTCATTGTAAATAATTATTTGTTAATTTATAAATTTTATTAAATTTTAAATTAATTATATAATGTATTTTTGATTAATTATTTTAAAAAAATCCAGAGAAGATTACTAGTTATTTGTATACAAATGTTTTTCTATAATAATATTAAAGTGTACTCATTTCTATTTTTGTTTTAGAAAATAGTTATTAGTTAAAAATGTGTTTTAAAATTATAAGATAATTGGTTTTTCGATAAATAAAGCCAATAAAATTTTTTAAATATATTTTTCATATATTTAAAGGCGAAACTACTTAAAAG